TGAATACATGAGCAAAAATATTTTTGGTGACTTTACATTAGGTACTATTTACTTTACTTACATATGTACTACCATTTCACTCGTGGAGAATTAAAGTCATAGATATACAGGGTGGTTGGTAACTAGCAGTACAAGCGGAAAGGGGGTGATTCTACGCGAAAAAAGAAGTCGAAAATATAGAATAAAAATTCTTTTTTTTAATTTTTTTTTTAATATACAGTGAGATCCATTATAACGAGACGTGATAAAGTGCACGCGTACCGAGCGAAAATTCAAAGTCGATTTTCTCGAAAACAAAGCCTCAAACGAAAAATTTTTATTCTATATTTTCGACTTCTTTTTTCGCGTAGAATCACCCCCTTTCCGCTTGTACCACCAGTTACCAACCACCCTGTATATATGTCGCAAATTAAATTAAATTTCCTTCACAATTAGATCCTTACAGATTTCAAATAATAAAGATTTGACTTTATCAATTAATGTTATTTTCAATACCAAATAGCTACGGTAACATAAGTATTATATATATTTTTATATTCTCACATTCATATTGCATACATACAGCTATTATAATATATTTAATCAATGGTTGGACTTTAGCTTGATGTAAATTGCACATGATAAAGTAGTTTGCGTTGATGTCTTATCTTTTTTATAAGACCATATGATCTATTTGCGATAACATATAAACATACATTTTTTATTTAAAAAATGAGGACTATGTTATAAATTAGTGGCGCGGTTATATTTCTGTTACTTTGACTAAAACAAACAGAAACATACTTGGAAACTTATTGTAGAGATATGTAAATTCCAAAAGTTGGCAAAGATTACATTATCGATCGGACATTGCGCAGAGTGCCTTAATCGACGCTGTTCACGCGTTCGTTAAACTTCCGCTTTCTACCTCTGTCTTGTCTTCCATAGGGTGCAGACGTGTTATTAGATCGCAATCAGTAAACTATATAAATGTGATAAATAGTTTTATTACTGCGTGATCCCTAAGTTTTCACGTCCCAATGAAACTCAATATTAATTAATAATTGGACAGGAATAATTGATAACAAAATGACGCGTACAGCCGAACTGTAATCGGTCATTTACATACGCGATCACTTTTCAAAATTGATTTTCTCCTAAACGAAAGTATTTTCCTGGAAAAAAGTTTGGAGGTTAATTATTGGGGACTGGAGAGACGAAAATCAATATTGTGAACAACCTTTTCCTATACACACAACTCGCCTATTACAAGCCGTTCGCCTATAGTTTCCAAATATTTGCAGAAAAATTCAATTAAATTTAAGTGACGATTACACTGGAGCATTTTTATATAGTCCAACCTAAACTTAATCTACTGATGAAAGAAACAATCGTTTTTGATAGTGTATAAATAAAAGAGAAAAATTAATGAGTTTTAGATTGGGCCAAAGTAGTATCCGGCTGTCATTGAGCGTCTGACGCTAAATGATTTTCGATGAATCAATTGATATATGGAATGTTGAATTCTTTCTGATCTTTAATTGTTCAAAAAAATATAACAAATTTACCTACCGTTATTGAAAAATTGTTTACAGAACAAAAATTTATAAAACAAATTGTTAAACAATACATATAAGTAGTATTAAACATAAATTGCTTTACAATTATAGGTATAGGCTATAGGTATAGGAAAAAGTTATTTAGAACCATCAGCTTAACAACATGTTTCAAGGTCATTGAAATCGGTGAGGTCGACCCTATTTTCAATAAATACCGCCTCGAAAAAGGAAATTTCATACCACACGTTTTATTTTCCTTCCAAATAGAATTTTCTCCTTTCTGGTTGTATATATTATTATTTTTACATCAGAAATATTATATTTCTGGTTATGTTATTTTATCTTAATTTATAAGTATTATAAATTATAATTTTAGAGATTACTTGTAAACATTCAACGATTTAAATGTTCACGCAGACAAATAATTTCATGAACTGTTGTGAAATAAATGTAACAGATTTTATTCTTTGAATATAAAAAAATAGACAAATACATAAAATACATATAGGTATAGTAAACGAAATACATGTATAATATGGGAAGTTGCATCACCTACAAAGCATAGACCGTGCTTTTGTTCAGTTGAATATTTGGAAACACACACTACGCCGCTTTAAAAGAACTCTCTTTCAAACCATAAATTTTCTATGGACGGCGATAATGCTCAGAAAGCGAATCGTCAAAGTGGTAATGAAAAACACCGAACAATACGAAAAAGAACACGTGCATAAGCTGTCAAGAATGCAACGTTGGAAGTGGTTTCGCGTGGTCGAGCACCGTACGTTGACTCTATTTCAACGTGTATCTGGCAGCAGGTGTTTTTGGTCCGTTGGCCAAGGGATACACCTGATAACTCAAGCCACGTAGAAGCGTGCATAGTATACATATACATATATTTACATCTGCTGTAACACGTTCCTACAGTTCGTGCTGAACGGTTCTGGTCACCTGCAGCCCCTTCCTCCTGTTCATCGCCTATAAGAAGCCTCTGCCTCTGACACATCCGTAATGCATTTTTCGACTAAATTGGTTGAAATGTTACAATTCATTTTTAACGACGAAAATATTGAACTACTTTCGTGTAAAATGAGTATTTAACATTTATGTTCGACCATGTTTATCGACCATTTGATTCTTTTTTAATTGTGCGAAAACTTCAACTCGCATTTATTATATATCAGAGATAAAAATATGCTTGTGGTGTGTATGGCTATATTTTTATTTCATCTGATTGCAATGAAGATATTAGTAACATTGTAAAACTATGGGGTACGACAATAGCATAAAATTGTAAGTGATAGCTATGTTAAGAAATAATCGTTTACAGAAAAGCAATTATGAAAAGAATAATAATAATTATATTTATTTTGTTTTATCCCTCAAATAGAGACCAATTATTTGTCTCTAAGATGAGTTTAAATTTTTTATTTTATTACCACAATCCATCGGAGGATTTTAGAGGCTTGAAAATTGAATGCCTTTATTTGCAAACATTTTTAACAGATGTATCATTAAATAAAATATTTATGTAACATTTATTTTTATAGCATGATTATATATTTATACCCATGGCCAAAATATGAACATCTATAAATTTAAATAAAAAGATAGCTCTAAAAAAATTAAAACTTATTAAAAGATTATCGTGTAGGAGGAACGAGGATGTTTCACAATCAATAATAGTCGCAACCATTCTATGTAACGTTTTTATATCCAAGTAGTACTAATATTAACACTAAACCTACCAGCGCCGGTCAAATTGACCGTTTTCGAACTTCATAATTTCTGACTTTTCCTAAAACATGCATACGATATATTTCTCAGTACTTACTTTTAGTTTGCTTTTTTCTTTCCTAAGAAAAAATTGTATTCTACCATGCCTATCGCGGGCAATCAATTTAACCGGCCGACAAAATATTTTAGTTACTTAAAATAAATGCAATCAGTACAAAAATCAGAAGAAAAGGCTATCTCAAGATCAGATGACAAACAAAATCAGTAATAACAAATAATAACAACTGTTACGCCCGTAATCTTGTCATAAACCCATCCCTCGATCAAGATGGCCAGGTGTTAAAACATATTAACTCAGACCCATAATAATCCTAAGGAACCGCCATAAAACTTAGCATTTTTTACGGTTAATCGTTACAAACATTTTAAAAGTCAAGAAGTTTCTCAGGGTTATTGCTCATTCAGATAAAACGCGGGAAAAGCCGGTATTTCCCATGTTCAACGGTCAATTTCACCCTCGAGCAACGGTTGGTGGAGAACGACCAGCACCCTCCAATATTTTCGTATAAATATCGCCGTCACAGACCATATTCTTACTTGCTATCGTCCTTTCGACCAGAATACATTTCAGTTTGTTACTCAATCAGTCGACATCAAAACTGGTTATTTGTAAAACTCAGACAGAGAACATCTCAAAGCGTTTTGCGTAAAGTTGTTATAGAAGAAAAAGTAAAGCATATCAAATTTGACAATAATTTTGTATTCCGTACATGGTATTATTCTGTGATAAATATTTATCCTAGGAATATCAAAAGTCTTCGAAAAAGAATTATAAAAAGAAAATAACGGACATAGAAGAAAACTGTTCCGTGTGCGGTGAACAAGAAACTTCAGCAACTGAAAACGGCATGAGAACACGTGAAAAACTATTTACAACCGAATCAGAGTTGAATATTATAAATAAGCGTTTACGTAAGGGCAAAAAGGAAAGAAATTATCGTTGACAGCAAACGGTGAAACTGATGTAGAGAACCGACGTATCGAAACTGGGCCCGATGGGACAGTTTGGAGTGAAATGGATGCAAGTCCCAAACCTGGCATTTTTAGGGATATGCTAAACGGCATATAATAAAAAGACAAGCAAAGATGGCATTTTATCTTATCATTGATCGCCGTATAAGGGATCATGTAATACAATGTACAGAAAAAGAAGCATTTAGAGCATTGGGGACTAACAGGGAGCTGTTGATGCAACAAAACTAGATGCATTTATTACCCTGCTATATGCCCGCGGTGCATATCAGGCAAAAAATTTAGATATCTCATATTTGTGGAATAAAATTTGGAGACTTGCATTTTTTCAAAAACAATGAGCAGGAATGACTTTGCAGAAATTATGAGGTTTATACGATTTGTATGGAGGCAATTTACAGAGAATTCACAAAATTGTTATAAACCTAGTGCATACGTTACTTTCATATAAAGAATCACAGGAAAATCAGATTCATTACTGCAAAAATCTTGTCAAGTAAACAATTGTAAAGGTTACAAAATTACGAAAATTTGTTTAAGATGCGGGAAATATTTATGCGACAAATGTACGTTTGATAATAAGATAATTTGTAAAAAATACAGCGAAGTTGAATAAGATATATCTCTATATAAATAAAAGCGTAATTCTATTTAAGTCTATAATTAATATTAAACAAAAATAAATTTGGACGAAATTTTATGATAGTTTATCATTTTATATACATTTAGTTATAAATTAACCATTATCTAAGTTAAATCATAAAAACTGTTACTTCTTTAATCACCGGTCATTTTGACCACACACGGTAGGAATATGTATATACGAAATGTCGGTAGGTTTAGTATTAAAAATCCCAGCTGGTCAATCTTTCAAAAACTAATGTATCCGTTGAAAACAAGCAAAATCCTACCACAGACAGAGTAATTCGATCTGGCAAAACAGGTTCAATGGTATCTGAAGGTTAGTCATTTTTCTGGGATTCTTTACGTAGAAGTCGTATTTCTCTTTGTAGGCCTGTTTTTTCTCAATATTCTTCCAAACAATGGAGAGAGGTATAGTCTTGGCTGGTGGTTCTCGTTTCAGGTGTAGACCTTGTGGATGTTGAACTGAAGGAACTTAAGCTTCCACTTGTGTACAAATCTATTAATCCCTTACAGACGAAGTCAACAAAAGATGACTCGAATTTATAGAGAAACTTTTTCATTTATAAATATTGCTTGTATCTTTTGTGTACTCTCTTGGTTATTTTTTCTCTGTTACTTCTGTTAAAAATATTACAACAAAGATTCCAAAATTTTTCTTCAAATTTTTAATGTCATAAATTTAAGAAACCACACCTAATAATGCTATACAGTTTTATAAACTAATAGCTTTGAGATAACAAGTTCTTATTTAATTGCCCAATCTCAATAATGCATTATATTTATTTATCTAATCCTCACTTCATATGAAATATTTTTAATGTTCAACACATTTAATTATTATGCATCAATAAAATAAACGTTTTTCACGTATATAGCTAAATGGAAGTTTTGATCATAAATAATGTTGAATGTGAGATATTTGTACAATTATTATTTATTTTTCTAATGAAAGTAAATATTCATCATGAAAAATGAATACAGATAGTTTTCCCTAATTTCAGAAACCTACCTGTTACACTCGTGAGGGATATTGTCACACTCTTATCACATTCTTATCAGGAAAATCATGTATGTATAATTTCGATTGCAAATTTAAAAATCTACTAACTTATCGTTATTTCAATCATACTTTATAAGACCATAAAAAAATACTATTTATCAGTCTGCAGTAAATAAAATTCGTTACAAAATCAACAGTATCAGTCAAATAGAAACATCACAGCTGACGCAAGAAACAATATATCAGCTGGTCCTTAATACCTCGAAATCGAAGAAATCTAAAAGTATGTATTCATCAAAAGAAAAAACGGTCGAACTCGTCCCCAATTGCGAAACGGTTCCCACGATGTATCACAAATTGTGTTTCCTGTGCACGAATCGATGTGGAATTTAAGTTTTTACCGGAATTCTGGAAACCGGGATCCCCCTATGAATCTTACAATGAAAAACGAAGAGAGGATCACTCATAGCAATAATAATGAGCGAAAATAGAAGTAGGCCACTATCGTATACTGGTATATACTTAACGTGTCTACCAGTTTGCACCCCTCGAAGTGTCTCTTTTATTTCTTCCACCGTTTTCTTTCTCCCTTCGACTTCTTCTATGCTCACTTCCGGCTGTCAGCTGGCTGAAAAGGAGCTCAGGAATTCCGATGAAGGGAACAAGACCCTCTCTCCAGCTTAATTTTAGCTCGCTTGACACCAACGGGCACGTGCTCCGAATCGGGGTTTTCCTTTCCCAGTTAACCGAGAGTTTGTGGTTCTTTCCCGTGGAAATCGAAAGACGGTCCCACGGTTCTCTTGAAAATGATTAAAGAGGGTATGCTGCTATGGACCTTTCAAAATACCCATGTTTTTTTTAAATATTTTCATAAGGAATGTAATTTTAATATATGTGCCATGCGTTATGCTTAAATTTGCAAAATTAACGAAGCTATAGAGACTGAAGTCATATAGTAAAAGAACATTTAGACATTTAATGAAATATATTTTTTAAAGGGTATAGTTTTAAAATTTCAAAAATTGACAAAGCTATACAATATTGTTTTCGAAGAATAAGAAAATGGCTGAAAGCATATGCAACTTTTACTGCAATTTTTACGAAACCATATTTTCTTTCCTTTGAAAGATTTGCTCTGTTTTATAAGACAGCTATTTGCGCATATTGTAAGTGCCTGATAGTCAATGTATTGTTAGGCTGTCTGAAAAGTTTCTTTTGTTTTATGAGGAAATAATAGACGCATAACGTTTTCTGTTTTATATTATTTTGTCGAATTACGTATAATCCATTTTGTTCTGTTGAAATAAACACCGCGACATTTCACGGACTTGGTTTCACGTTTGTACAGAGGTGCACTGTTGTAAAAAACACGCTTGCGAAAAAAGACACTTTTCGGACAAGCTAATATAATGTGAATTGTGGATGCATAAAATAAAAGATCGATTTTATAGGCAACTTAGGCAATTTTATAGCATAAAAAGCACAGTTATATTACAAATATGGCGCACCTCGGAATTTATAAACATAAATATAATTATATGTACATGAATGTACTCTATTATTATAAAATTATTACTTTCATTTATACCTATTCTTCTCAAACAGTGATTCCCAACGGGTACATCTCGAGATAAAGTTATATGCGAAAGGGCAAGATTCTTTCTTTTTTTTTATTAATCTTGATAAAATGAAATGTCTCTCTTGAATAAATTTTAGAATTTGTATACAAAGTGTGCCTAAATATCTGTATATTGTCTAAAATGCGCCGTAGTTTTAATTAAAAAAAGTTTAAGAACCACTGTACCTGTCATCAATATTTATCTTTTTTTCTTCCGTATAATTTTACGAAGTTCAAAAATGACGAAGAACGAAGCATCAGAAAATAAATATTCATGAACGAAAAAATGTACGACAGTTATTAATATGGAAGCAAAATGAACATTAATGGTCGAATGTCATTTGAAAATGTACTGTATGTATATTTGAAGCATAAATAGAGGATGAGAAAAAATGGTGGGAAAAAAGAGAAGGAAGAATGAGGGATGCGGAAAAAAGTATTGATTGAAAGAAACTAAAACTATGTATTTGCCATAATAATCTTTTTTTACCGTATATATATAGTAAGAAATATTATTTTAATTAAAAAAAGCAAAAAGACTAAAGACACTAGTCATTTTAATATTCATTAAAATAATTTATTACAAAATTCGTAGATTAATGCCATAATTAAATCCAAGAAACCATACTGCTGCATAAATTAGAATAAAAATATACGTGGTTAAAAATTCAATTTTTACATAATCTATGTGAAAATGGAAATTCGAATATTAAAGTACATAGATAATCAGCATTTAAATAGATATCTAAACTTTTATCTGAAATATTTAAATTTACAATTCATTTTTTATATATTGTCTACAAAAGATTGAATGAAACGCACGCTCTATCACGTAAGTATAATCATATTTAGAAGTAGCAAATGTAATAAATTCATATAAATTATGTATATATCATATGTATGTATCACGAGGAACAATTTATTTCACGACGTGAAAGAACAATATGGTATTCTAAGCGCAGAAACAGTTACGATTTCTGTCATAAACCTGAACACATTTCCTGCACCAAAGCTATAAACCTCTCGTCGTAAACTTTTCAAAAGACGCACTTCTTACGTATTCACTTTGATTTGAAAAATTTCACGATCTGCATACAATGAGACGTATCTACTTCTTTTTTATCATAAAATAATTTCTTGCTTGCTTAAACACGTATGTGTATACATATGATATTTCGAAGAATGGCCACTTATGCTTAATGGAATTTGATAAAAAAGCGACATGTTTTTGCTACATTTTCAAAGTTTTAATAAAAGGAAGTTTTTCTACTGTCAGTTCACTATTTCTTATCAAAGCTAGAATCAAATGCTCTGCTAAACTTGAACTAGGACAAATTGCTCTAGTGCTCTAGATCTGGAGATATTTCATAAAATCTATATTTATATTTGTATAGTAAAACTAGAGACATATTGTATATTTTATGTACTTTCAAACATAAAAATTTTGAATAGACAGAGTTTTAAGACATTTGAAATCACTTAATCTTTATAATACCCTAATTCGGAACTGAAGAAAGTCGCAGTTTTGTCATTTTTTTGCCATAGTTGTTTTTCTTTGTTCAATTTCGAATATTTTGCATTTTATAATCTTATATAACTTTACTTATAAGGTAAAATGTATAGGGGAAGTATTTTAACATATCTCGAAAAACGAAAAACTATGAGATAGGATATTGTAATCAAGAAGGCTATTTTCATCCAATTTCAATTATTATCTTTTATTTATTAACTAGTTTTGCGTCAATATCTATTGACTGTATATGATTATTTGAAACATAGTTAAAGACCAAAATAGGAAAGAAGTATAGTTTGTATATTTTCAATTGTGAAAGAGTGTTCAAGCACTTATATATGAACGCTAGCATAAATACATGTATGTGTACGTGTCACATGTTCGTCCCCTGCTTAACTAGGAATTTTTTCGTTGAGGAAGCGGCGATGCGACGTGTCGAAAGAATGATAAGCATTTCCAGGCAAAGGGGGATTTCTAGACTAAACCGGGTGTTATTTTTATTCGGTCTCCCGAAATTGCAGGCGACGCCCCTCGTTCAGTCACTTTCGTCGCTACCTCTCGTTTCCATGTATTCCTAACAATCATGAGTGCATGCGGGATAAATAAATATCTTTCGATGGTTGTCGAGCATTTTTGGCGATAATACTTCTATGTTGCCTTCGAGAAAACTGTGTGCGACGAGTGTTATTAATAACGTTCTTTGATCCCCAAAGTTTTATTATTACATACCTATAACCTCAAACATTTTTTTGCTAAAAGAAGAAACGCATGGGCAAAATTGAATAAACTATAGAGGGTCACGTTAATATTTATCTACTTAATCTGCCTGTAGAACCTACGCTATTTACAGATAGTAGAGTGGAGGTTTTAGACGAGCAATGTAACAATGTACAATAATTATTACTATAATTTTAATTGAAAAGAGTCAAAGCAGAGTAGACAGTGATAGACAAAGATAGTAAACAGTGAGATTTGATTGATATTGTAATATTTTATGAATAAAAATAGTAAGCAAATTTACGGCTGTAAAAATATTTCCACTAATTTACCAATCATTAATAAATTT